TTCATATTTTTCAAGAGCCAAACAAAGGTAAAAGAATTATAGTTATAGATAAAGTAGTGTGCAAATGGCATTGGCCCTTGTAGCTGTTATTTCATTTACTAGTGGTTCCCACGAATGGTACATAAGACTGCAACTGGATATATTATAGAATTAATTGGAGCTGACCTAAACCCAATTTCTTGGTAGTTGTTAAAAATGTTTTGGACACTCACCAATATCAAAGGCCGCTGGGGACTCATTAAAAAATTCAATGTTCTTCTGTCTTAGACTAATACGTTTTTAAAATTATAAGAAAAAAATATTATCAAAAGCAAGCAACACAGAAATCTCTTTAAATTTTATCCAAAAAAAAAAAAAATCATAAGAGGTCTTTAATGAGGCAAAATGAGTATAATTAAAAAAAAAGGCGAAAATTATGGTGCTAAAGCTAATAATTAATAGATTTTTATAGGGCCAATTAATAATTTAACAGATTTAATTGGTAATTTGTAGGATGTTTATTGAATCATGCAAGAGACTGAGAATCAAGACAGGAGCAGACGCCAATGGTTTTGGAGTGGTGCCAAGGAAAGCTCTAAATGTAACTTTAAAGAAGTGACTAGAAAAGTCATCACAAGCCAGATGAAGAATTAATGCCTGACTAAAGTTTCTTTGATCATATGCTTTGTTAAATGTTAATGATGTTTTTAAGTTACTTGATTAAGTAGGCAATATTTCTTGCTTTCTGTGACATTAATCAATTAAGACTTCAAATGTACGTACTTTTTGGATTATTGATGTTAAGACATAAATTGTTAGAGTGTAATTGGGATAGGACCCCCAAGGCCTAATAGGTATGAAACATAATTTCCTTCCTCTCATCATGAATTGAAGCCATATATTATTTGTTAGTTGGTGTTTGAGAATTCTTTTTATTTTATTTTATTTTATATGAATATGATTCTTGATTTTGTAATTCCCTTATGCTGCAATATTTTATTTTTATTATTGCATGTTTAGTTTTTTTAATATTTGATTTTCATTCGGGATTTAGAAAACTCATTAACTTTTTTTAATCACGACCTTTTGATATTTTGATTATGACATACTGTTTGGCTGTTCCCAGAAACAAACTTTAGGTTATTCTAAAAAAGAAAGACATATATCTTTATGTATTCAAAATATATAATTTTGATATTGAGAAAATGAGGAAGCATGCTAATTTTCGCAGTAAAAGGAAAAAGATTATGGAGAACTATAATGTGTGTAGGGGAGAATGCGGCACATTACCCAGCTTTTTATTTTCTAAGAAATCTAATTCTTTAACAGATAGTATAACTGCCAAACTTTTTTCTATTTGCAATTTTGGTAATCAAGGGGTAAGTGTATTTTATAATCCAGAAAGTAAAATTATTTTTTTTTATTAGAAAAATGATTCAGCAATGGATATTTAGATTATTTAGGTCGAGTAGACAAGATGAGTCAACTTGATTTTTTGAAGCACACTTCACCAATACCAGGATGGCAAACGACCAATCTCTCAATTATAAATATCCCCTTCTCTCTGGGCGGAGAAGTCCACTCATTCTATCTCATTTCTAAATTTACTCACTTTAATTCTTCTTCTCTTTTTATACGTCACTGACATAAGCATCACAGACGACAAAAACAACTCGACTTTTGTTCCTAATTAATCTCCTACTTAAAGATTTCACGTAATCGTCCTCCACTTCGAATTAAGCACGAACACGAAACAAAAATTTATTAAATTTATATGTAGATGAGATGATACATATCTTTTCAAGTATATTTAAAATATAAAAATAAAAAATATATACGTGTCAATCTTTTAATTTCAATTTACAATGTCACTCCTATTTTGTCAGGAGTGAGTTGACATTCCAAAATGACATCAATACCATGAATTTGAATGATGAAAACTGAAATGGATATAAGGCCAGTAAGATGTTTATAAGAAGATATGATCCATTTAAGCATCTTACCTTTATATGGAGTCTGTTTTTACTCAATACCTGTTGAGACTGTGCCAATTAAACAATCAGAATCGAGACAAAATGGTTTTTATTGGAGTGAGAGGAAAGCTTGTCCAGAGCACTGAATAAATTTCAGTTCTAGGTTCTTCAGTCCTTTTATTTGGCTAATTTTCAAAAGTTGGGAAATTTGTTACTTTGTAGATTATGAAACTTGACAGAGATTAAAAGAATTAAGAGACCTGATTGATGATAAGAATGTAATAATGTGAGTTCATATATAATAATGCATTTTTTTTTTTGAAATTATATATAATAATGCACTTAAACAGACTACTAAGATGGATGGAGCAGTGCAGATTGTTTATTCTAGAAATAAATAGCTTTTTTTTAATAAAGGAAGCAACAGTATGGAGTTAAAAAAAAAGGATGGTATGTGCTGGAATTCAAATTTCAGATTTATTAGATATTATTTCTTAAGAATAATTACATGAACTAATTGAATTAAATTTTGAATTCTAATTAGTACCTTAGCATTTTTCAAAAGCCATATGTAGTTTCAATTGCTTTGAACATTTAAGTTCAATTTGAAGTTTCTTATCAGAAGCATGTAATTTTTGTAGCCTTTTTTGGTCTGTCACCTAGAAATGTTTCCAAGACTCCACTTCAGTTCTGGAAGGCTTATTTCCTGAAATTCAGAAGCCCGGTTCTGTGATTCTCCTTTCTTTTAAGTTTATTATTCAGATGAAGAAATATATACAACAATTTCCGGGTATTTGCTCGAATCCTAGTGACTGCATGATAAATGAGCTTCTCAATGATGATACTGATCAGTCAGGGGTCATGTAAGGCAACCATAGCTGTGACACATGTTTCATTTGGTTCAGGCATTGGATGGTTTTGAAGGTGGGGAATGGAAGACCAGGAGTTTGAAGTGCAGAAATGAGAACTTGATGCGACCTTATACATATATGACTGTTAGGTGGTTGAGATTTATAGCTGGTCTGAGTAGCTCTCAAGTTAGGCCAACAGATTCTATGTATCCATCTTACTGATGGGACCCAGAATGGAAATTGGGAAACAAAAATCTTCATATTGCTTAGTTTTCATGCAAAGAAATCAGGCATCATGTTCAAAAGCCTTGAAAACCTTTTTTTCTTGTTTGAAGAAATTTAAACAACCCAAGTGTCACGACCTGATTAATGAACCTTTGGTTCCATGATCGAATTGCCTTCAAAATCTCATCTGAATTTGGTTGCTTTTATTTGTGGTGAGCACACCTCTTCAAACATACAAGTGAATTACTAGCACAGAATGATGCATTTTCAACCATAAAAATCTTGATTCATATCAATGACAGCTTGATTTCTGGCAGTGGGCCTATATTCCCTAAATCATTATAAAGGCCATTGATTCCTGTGCATTGGATACATTCGAAGCCAAATATTTTCGAGTCAATCAAGAACTTGTGATCTTCTTTAAACTTCGAGAAATGCTTGCTAATTTCTGGAACCTTCAGCAAATCTTACACTATTGAGAGATTAATGGATGGTCTCCTTTCTCTTCTTTCAGTCTTTTCCCTTCTTTTGCAGTTACTTTTACATAAGACTGAAAACCTGAACCACAATATCAAAACCTGTGATGGATGGATATGAGACAAGTTAAACAATGTAAAAGAATTTTCTTTACATAACGTTTACTGCAGATTTGGCTCAATTGCTCAATAAAAAGAGCTAAATTGGTTGGTTAATCGCCGAGTTACGGGCCTTGAACCAGCACTTTGTTGAGCTTAAGGCTAGAGCACTTTCAAGTTATTACATCGGCGGTGACTCACAGTTCTACAAAAAAGTGGATGCAATTTAATGGGTTTTACTATTAATGCAGGAAAGTGGAAGCAGCCACCGAGCCAGTGATGTTTCTAATTCTTCCTGTAAGAAAATGAGTGAACTCCCCTAAAACTGTTCCTGTAAGAAATTGAAGTAAAAACAGCAAGGTAACAAAAGTTGCAGTTGTCTGGTAAGTTGCATGTAGTCCAAAGGTTCCTATAAGAAATCCAAGTAAAAACAGGAAGCTTACGTGAAAGTTCTGTCAAGAAATTAGCCCAAGAATATAGCCAAAATTAAATGAACGAACGATTGTTAAAGATTTCTGTTTTATTGTGACATTAAAAGCTGCCATGTGGCTGGTTTAGCAAAGCATCTTATAGATTTCTGTTTTTTTCATAAACTTGGGGCTTAGCTCAATAGGTTCATTAAGCTACCCTTAAGAGTTGACACTCAGTAGGTTTGAGGTTTATATTCCGGTACCTACAATATTTTACCCTATCTCAGGATGCGACCTCTTATCACCAAAAAGAAAAAAAAAAGAGCATGTTTTTCATGGTTGAAGAGGTATGGAGTTGATCAGACCCCTTAGTCTCTTGCTTCTTCTTAACTAACATAATTAATGGAGACAGATAGACAAAGGGTCCGTTATTAAGAGAGAGCAATTAAGGTTCCCTTCCCTTTCCCTATAAATTTTAATGGACAACTATTTCCTGTTCATGTTTCAGGAAATTTTAATGAAATAGATATACAAAGAGGAACAATGGAGTCACCACCAACACGAGACTTCATACTATCATGTGGTTAAAAAACGCCACGAGGACAAGGGATTCCTCTATGCATGGTTTGTAAAGCATTTTTTTAAAAAAGGACTAATTTGATTTTCTACACTTTTTTCACATTGTTCCCTCGGCTGAATTACTTTGCTGTCATAAATTATTGACTTCAACTTTGATTAATGGTGTTTCTTGCAGTTTGTTTGCACTTTATTGCTGCTGCGTGGGAAACACCTGCTGTTGCTGTAGCTGAATTACTTTATCAAACTTTCGATTATCAGCACGTAAGCTGATAATTTGAGATCGTTCAAATAAATTTCCTTCACTAGCTTTATCTGTTAGTTCTCTCCAGCTTCATTTGTATTCAAACCTGAATTTTGTGGATTCTGGATTTCATTTTTTATTCAAAAAAGGGATTCAAATCACATTCCTTGAAAAAAAATTCATGCACCAACTATTGAGCCAAATGATCAGGTGTTGGATTTTCTTCTTTTTCATTTTCCTTTTCTTTCTTCTTTCCAAATTGTTAATGATGTGATCTTCAATGCGTGTTCTTTGGTTCCATGTCAGTGCCTGGATGTTCTAAGACTTCTAACAAATCACATCGAACACACAAACTGGTGCATTTTGTGAACAGACAAACCTGAAATGTGTTGGTGTCTAAAGGCACACTCCAATTTAAGAAAAATGAGGGCAGAGAGTTATGAAATGGAAGATAGTTATCACCATGTGTGTTGGTCAATAAAAGCCAATTTGGACATTCACCAAACGATTTAAGCTCTTGAATTAAGTTGTTCTTGACATGATAGGATGGTCTTGTTGAGTAAAAGCCGGTTTGATATTGTTGAGTTGTGACACAAAAACTAATTTCATTGAAGATACCTGTACTATGTGACATTTACAATCTTAACTGATTGCAAAACATGGAAGAGAAAATTTACATATAATTTCACCTCAGAATACATTCTTCTACAAGAAATCAAAACTGGACTGGAAACTGATATTCAACAAAAAACTAATTTATCTACTCACCTAAGATGGGATTCCTCCCTTCATCGATTTCAATTAGGAGGAGATGCTTTCGATCTGATCCATTTGGTCCTTCAGAATACAGGGTAGGAAGGTAAGCTTTATAAGCAGGCAGGTATCGAGAAACAAAATCTTTTACCTGTGAATATTGCCAGAGATTTCGAGTAAGAAATCAAGGGGAAAAAGGGATACAGATACAATGCTAAATGTAATATGTTAGAACAAATATGTAGATGCACCTCCTCATTAGACATTCCAGGTTTCCCTGCCTCCCTCATGGCAATCTCAGCCTGCCCAAAACCATTTACAACAAAAATGATGAGAATAATGTATGATTCTATGACATAAAGGAGGTTTCTTAGGAGAATGTGATTGGTTGATAGGAGTACTTCAAAATAAGAACCAACCTGCAGACGCCACTGGTAGACACAACTCGGGTCCTGAATTTTGATAACAATCCATGCCTTAATGAACTTGTCCCATGCATCATAATATGCTTCAAGATTTTTATTTACCACCTCCAGCTGTAAAACTGATAATCAGCTTGATCCATAACTTTCGAGTTAGAGTAACATAAATAAATACTAAATCTGTAGCAGCAACATCATAAGTACCCCTGAAGACTTTGGAGTTGGAAGATCTAACCTGTGGATCAACAGCTTTAATAACTTCACTAGCAAGGGGTTTGAAGCCAAGCATCCAGCCTTCATACAGAACAACCTGATGACCACCCAAATCATACAAGTTAAGGGAAAGGAAACGAAGGAACCAAAATAACTAGATTAAAATTAGAAATTCTCACATTAGCATGGAAGGTCAATCAAATGAACATCTTACCTTGATACTGATTTTGGGCAATGAATCTTGTTCGTACTATTAAAAGTTATTCACGTAATTCAAGCTTAAATTCAATACTTATGGTATGGAAATCAATTTAGATGCAATGACATAATCATGTTGATGGACAGATCATGATGTCTTACTTTTTGGACAACATAAATTCAAACAGACTATACCCTGGTCAATAAATCTAGTTTTTAACAATTTTGTCTCAAGAATTGTACTCACATGATTAAAGCATACAGTAAATAGCTACGGAAATCAATTTTGATTACATAATCACATTAATCTAAATACAAACAAACCGCACCAACCTTCCCCAGCTCTAACTGAAGATTCTCTTACCGTTAGTGGTCCTTCAGCTTCTGGCCATGTTGAAGGGTCAGCTCTGTCACCCCTCCCACTATATGCAGACTGGAAAGAACAACGTTATTCATAAACAAATTTGAACAAAAGATTGACCACAAAACAAGTAAAATTGGTAATGTTGTGCTTACTTTATCGTATCGAGGAAGTTTCATCTTCATACCTGTATAACTTGAACAAAATCAACCACAAGGAGATTGAAAAACAGTGAATCATCCCAAGGAAAGATGAGTCAAGAAAAAGAAACACCTTCTTTAGTCAACTTGCTCAAAGCTGTAAGTGTTTCAATTGAGAATGGAAGATCATGGCTTCCAGCATTTCCACGCAACTGAAATAAGAAAATACAAGAAAAGGAAAGAAAACCATTTCATTCTTGGGTGAGTGACAAAACAAATTGTTACTGAAGAAAAAAAATCAACAGGGAAATCAATAGCCACCTCTAAAAGAGCATTTCCTGGGTTCTCTTCTCTAAATTTGGCCTATTATCAATGTACACTTTGTGTCAGAAAGTGATAAGAAAAATTGAAGAAATTTTAGCAAATGATAAAACTCCATAATTATTACCTGCCCCTCTGCTGTCAAATAGAAATCATCTATGGATAATGTTGCAGACTTCCTGAGATTAAGGTGGACGTCAGTAACTACAGTTGTTTCCACTCTCTCGTTTTATATTACCAATGAGTCAAAAAATATATGAATTACTTCTATTTATTAAATTCCATTGCCCTTCTAGCTACCTGCCAGTGATCCTGAAAAGATAATCAAGAGCAAAGACAAGTGTTGTCTTTCCACAACCCTGTGGTGCACTGAAACCTATCTGCATCATAAAAAAGATGCAGATGCAACAAGATCAAAAGAATAGTCAAGTAATTTGTGTCAGCTGCACAGACCTTCAGCAGTAAGAACCTTTTACTTTATCCTAATCGAATGAAATTTTCCTAGGGGAAGAGAATACAAACATTCACGACAATCATTTGAAAACCTTATCCATACCACTAAGGGGGGTATCTCTTCCCCATCTTTAAACCTGGACGTGTGCTGTGATATCTGGACTTCACACCATACAAAGACTGGTATGTAGTAGTGATAAAGCCTTGCTTTCTGAGGAATAGTAAGGTAAAGTTCGTTGAGCTGAAATAATCGACAAAGCTTCGACCCATAAAACAACCACTTGTCAATGGAATCTGCCACCTTTTCTGGGGTCAGTCCCACTTTGTCCACAAGAGGACCAGAACATATGAATTCATAAAGGTCCTGTACAGAGGAAACTTCTGCAGGTTTTGTGGGAAAAACTGAATATATTGAACCCTCCCTCAATCCACTACCACTGCTAGCATCATGATGCATGGAATTATCTTGCAACCATGAGCTACCGCTGCCTACAGAAAGAATTCATAAAGAAGTAGAGATAAATTATGATCAAGACTGAATCTTTACAAAGAACAAAGCATGAAGTAGATGCAGAAAGGAACCAAATTCAACAGCATTATTGTATACTAAAATCCATTAAACATTTTAACTAAAATGCTGAAGCCAAAAAGCTCATTTCAGCATAAGAATTAGACAATTCCAAACGCATTGGAGTTCATACATATCCAATGTAAATAATTTCTGTCTACTTAAATTTTCCCGTTTTTGTTTTCTTATGGAAAGAACAATCCTTTCTTAGCACCTCCTTATTGAAAATTTCTAGTTCTAACCAATGGAATATTGCTCAAGGACAAAATATCAACCAGAAAACATTCAATTAAACAATCAACAATTCATGGAAACAAATTTATAGTTCTCAGCTTCATTTAACTTAGCAAAATTGAGCATCCAAGAGGAGAGAAGCTCTTAAGTGGATAAGTGGGAAAATTCTACAAACAGAAGAAACCATATCCTTTTATAAATGCCATCATAACAAAAATTTAGTAGATTTTATTTTTGCTCTAATTTCTCTCCCTAACTTCCCAGAAACCATCATTAAACAAACATTGAAAGATTAAATATCTGAGTCAAACATCCCAAATTATTTTGAATAACCATTAAGAGATAACAAATGAAGAAGGCTTTAAAAGTTTTTATCTTATCCAAAACTTTTCCATTGGCTACCATACAGAAAGCAACACAAGTAGATAAACCAGGACATAAAGAGAATTTAAAAGAAAGAGAGAGAGAAAAACCTGAAGTTGAGAAAGGGGTTTGTGGCATATTTGATTTGGATTGTGTAAAGAGAGAAGAGAAAGGAGGGGAAGGATTAGGATGATGACGATGATAATGATGATAACTAAGCAAAGAGGACTTAGCTTTCTGAATAGTTTTACTATTATTATTATTATAAAAACTTTGATATTGATAATGATAATGGAAAATTTTAATGTTATTATAATTCAAGGTGGTGGCTTGGCATGGCGTTAGAGTAGTGAAAGCCGCCATTTTTCTCTCTCTCAGGGGACAGACTGACTGTGAGAAGAAGTTGGACGAAAGACGGGGGATCGGGTTGTGTTGTGTCGGTTCTGACTTTTTACGCTTTTGTAGTTTTCTGTTTGCTCTTTCAATTAAGATGCAAAACCAATATCCTCATTATTTTATTTTTTATTTAAGAAAAAATAAATTCCAAATTATTTCTTTTAAAACAAAATATATGCTTAAATTTCCTATTTTCCTCAAGTTTGACTTTCTTTTTATCTTTTTAGAAGAGAAATAGTGATTTTTTTTTTCAAAATATAGCAAGATTTCAACTTGCAGTATCTGTTTTTTTTTTTTTTTTTCTATTTATTACAAGTAAAAATAAAAAGTAAATTTAAATTCAGAAAATATTTCTAAAATTTTCAAGGCAAATACTATAGATTTTATTTTTGAAAATATAACTAAATTTTTTTAGCATGAAACAATTACATTCAAATTGTTATTTCATGCGAACCAGTTTGATCATTTTGAATAAATTATTGTTTTTTCCAGAATAATAATCTATCTTTTTCCTTCAACATCATTTTTTTTTTTTTACTATGGAAAAATATTTTTTAAGTATTTAATATATATTTAAAAATAAAAAATTAATTAAAAGACAGAAATATAACAAAGTTTAACATCATTTTCTTAGAATTTAAAAACTTCATTGACAATGTATGAAAAATGAAATTTTCAGTAATTACTTTTTTTAATCAAAATAATTTTAAATATGATATGATGATAAATACAAAAATGATATAAACGGTACACTAAAACTAAAAAATCTAAAATTTTAACAAAGATGATAAATGAGTTTGGTAAAAATAAAAAAAATAAATAAATGTTTCATTAAACGTGTTAATATAAATTATAACATAATAATTTTCATATTTTATACACATGAAACAAACATAAAAATACAAGAATTGTTATGGCTTCCTTTATAACAAACTTTTTAGTAAATAAAAAATAAAAATAAAAATAGTTTTCTAGAATTTGGACCAAAGTATATTTGCAAGTGCAAAATTAGCAGACAACGTTTCCTTGATGTTAGTAGTTATTAATGGCTCAAAAGAAAACTGTCCAAGTTTTATTATGCAAAATCACTTCTGCAAAGCCACGATTATACTAACCAAAAAATCCCAATAAATAAATAGACAAACACAACAAAGCATTCTAAAGGAAGGACATTATGGCATAACTTGAAAGTAAGTTACGAAGAAAAAGCAACTCTTCAATTCAGAAGCTGCATCTGTCAATCTTACATTTAGCCTGTTACATTTTTTCTCTCCTCTTACAAACATTACAAACTAAACAAATTAAATCTCAGTCACCATACAATTATGCTAGTTCAAAGTTCAGCAAAATAGCAATATCAACAGTTAAGATAATTCTTTCTTGGTTTTTGAGGCTGGAAGATTTAAAACCTAATCAATGGAACTAAGAGTCCAGCATTCTACCAACAGATTACATAGTTGTTGAATAAATATTTAAAATTTGAGGTTCGTAACCTTACAAAGATGCAGTTTTGGAAGAACCAAAACCTGAGAGTTGTTAGTATCTATGGACAAGATTTGAGTAATGTTAAGCACTAATGAACATGAATGAAGAGGTTAAAATATGAACCTCATGAGAAATGACAAAATTCAGATGGAACTTCCATCTGAAAAAGTGTTATAATCTGTCAGCAGCCCCTTGAAGTCATCAGGAAGGAGCCATTTTTTCTTGGAATAGTGTTTCAAGCGGTTTCAGAGAGGAAAAGGTTGCCACGGATTTAAACTGGTAATAACAAGCTCTTTAGAGAACATCTAGGAAACCCTTAAATCAATAGTACCAGAGATCCTATAAAGGTTTTGAGAGATGCAAATTGACCTTAATAGTTAATAGAGTATAATTCAAGTTCAAAGAAGCTATTACCTTTTGTTGCCTATATTTCATGCGTATGGCATTTAGACGACAACCATTTGTGTTCAACTGTAAATCTTGCAATGCGAGAGCTGTGGTTTTGAGATCTGATATGTAGTACGATGTGCAGTGTTCAAGAGTTGGATTCTGCCAAAACGGAAAATAAAGATAAGCTCTAGACGTACCCGAGAGAACCAAATGAAGGACTGATGAATAGAATGCAGACCCACGGGTAACATGACTGATCTAAAGTCCATCTCGCAAGAAATACAGCTGATGCAGCAATGATAGAAGGAGCAAACTTTAAGAAACCACAGTCAATTAGTGTCAATTCTGCTAGAAAATTTGCCAAGTATTCCAGTTCTATGCTAGGGCTCTGCAATTGGCAAGTAGGCGCAGAAAATTTAGTCATATGCTTAAAGAAAAGGAAATTCGTACCACCCGAATAAAGGCCAGTTCTATGCCAAATTAAATATTTTACCGTGTAAGAAGCTTGTGCAGCTCTTAGGAATCTCCTGAAAAGCGTAAATTTATGGAAGACGGAGAATTAGGATAACAACGGAGTATTTAAGACTCAGTATTTCACATGCATACATTGGATATCACGATTGGGCTAAAATACCTTAGAAAGGTTTTTGTAGTAGGTGCAAATATTTGAAAACCAAAATACTTCAGTACTTGACTCTCCATTTTTAGCACCTGCCAATTTCTTTTAGTAAGAAATGCAACTAAAATGTATTTGGACAAGGAAAGAAAGGAAGAACATTGAAAAACGTAATCCAGATTTTAAGCTCCAGTCAGCTCATTTTAGTTGTGTCCAGGTAACCGTGTCAATTGCATTAGCACAACATTTTTGCGCAAAGTACACTACATGCTTATATGCATGGGTGCATGCATTCATAGATACAGACATATACTTTTATACATGCATATACATGAACAAGTGTGTGCCGCACTATAGCTGTCATGTGGACCTTAAGAACCCCCATTTTATTTAGCTCAAATCAAATCTAGAACCTAACTGCCACAACTTTTTTTTTTCTTCTTTGAAGTCAGAAAAATTCCAGTTTCAAGCCGCATAATTCTTTTCCTTTTACACTTATTAGCCAACATCGGTCCATTTCCTCTGAAACAATGACAGCAAAAGCAATCCATACCCCATGTTCTCACCTACTCAAAGAAAGACTAAAAAAGAAATAGTAACTGGCTACAACAAAATTTTATGAATGTTGAAGTAGATGCCTTGTAATGAAGTAATAATGACATACCTCCTCTCTAGTGTAAGTGTTGTCTGTGATGAAGCAAAATTCTTCTACACGAGGTGCACATATTTCCTCGTACTTGCTTCAAGTATAAAGAGAAACTAATGTTAGTAAGCAAATGCAGAAGTTATTTCATGATGAATGCACCATTTTAATCTTCAAAGCTCTGAGAATAAATCATTTAAGTTTTTCGACCAACTAGGCTCATTATGATTAAGTAATATTCACAGCAGAATAAGTTCAAGGCTCTGGTATGACAACAGCATGGAATCACTTTCTCCTACTTGCAAGATTGTTGTTTGTCAAACTTGACAGGAAACTTTGCTAATCATTTGAATTTTGGACTGTCTCTCAAGCTCTGTGATCATATTTCTAAACTTTTTAATGTTGTCCTTATCCAGCCACTTCTTCATAACTTCAGTGTCAGCATCAGGCAATGCTCTGACATAGCAGTGCTTAGCATGAATGATGATTTTTTAGATTCATTGCTGTTCATCTTCAATTTCTAATTGCAGCATCTAGTGTATTTGCAGTATTAAATACAAAACAAAAGTTTGAATTCTTGACTGAAAGAAATCATGCAACAAACTTTGCTATGGATGTGAGCTTACGATGCTATCAGCATGCAAGTGATCCCAAGAAGTTGAAGTCTCTGTCTTTCTATGTAGTTTTGAGAGAGAAACCAATCAATTAGATACACTGTTAGGTAAAGTGTGTCAGGCACCAACTTGCATTCTTCAGATACCTGAAACCAAGATGGTACTTCCTTTAAACGTTTGCATAGGAAACAAAGAAAAGAATTCTTTCATTATAAACAGCCAAAAATATATCATTGGTTTTCAACCAGAGGTCAAGAGCATTTATCTGTATAGAAAAGTTAATACCTTTTAATGTTGATATGCATCAGGAATGATAATAAATAACTAGAAAAACGTTTTTCATATCCACATCATAAACACTGTTGCCCGAGATATGACAATTTATTATTGGGTATACCATAACCAGGAATATTTCTGGACAGAAATTAAATTGGGAATGCCTGTTTGTACTTGATAGTCCAAAATCTTAAAGCCCAACTTTAATGACCGTACACTTTATGCATTTAATCAATATTTAGATAGCCGAACAATACTAACCTCCACAAGCCAATCAACCAAAATTCCCCGCATGCTTTGAGTGATATCTCGCTGTATTGTCTCCATAAAATTAGGATATGGCCTGCGGACAAGCTGGATAAAGAAAAAAGAAAAAACAAAGATTAAACCAAGCAAAGAACATAAGTTCTAACTAAGGAGAAGGCAGTACAAAGACAGAAAGTACCCCTGTTCACTCCCTGACTGAAGTTGGAATTCAGAAGTGAAACCACAAATATTATAGGCTGGAAATTAGTAAATGCACTCAGAAAGCACACCAGCGCTCGAAAAGAGTAAAATTTTGCTCATAACCAAAAAAGATAATGAACAAAATTACATAGCTTTGAAGTCTGCTACTGCATAGTGTTAGCTAGTAAAATAAAAAAGTATGCATGCACCCGAACTTTTTGAAAAGAATAAGTCATCAACTGCGAAGTTTTCTGCAATCAGTTTTGATTGAAGAGATCATAACTTAAAAAGGGTTTATGGATGATGATGCAGATTCCCTCACTAGGAAGTGCCCCTCTTGGGGAGTTATATTTGGTTTAAAGTAAAATTCCGTTCAAACCGGGCTGATGCATATAAATTTCCTAGTTAAATACAAGAAAATAAGCCATGGAGAATAGATGTTCCAAATGCAAGGAGTTAATCATTCTTTTTTTTTTCATGTGTATCAGATAAAAGGTCAGCTCTCAATCTATTTTAATTTGTACACTTTGTTTCTTCCCTCAAAAGTCAATTATTAAGTTCACAGAA